AAAAAAAAAAAAAAAGGATTTAGAATCAACCTGAGTAGATAAATGGATAAAAAATTGTGGTATATACACACAGTGGAATATTACATAGCTACAAGGAAGAAGGAAATCCTGCCTTTTGCAACAACACAGATGGAACTGGAGAACATTATGTCAAGTGAAACCAGCCAAGCATAGGAAGTTGAACCTCTCATGTTTTCAATAATATGCAGGAACTCAAAAACTATTGACCTCATGGAGACAGAAAGTAGAACAATGGTCCCAGAGGCTGAGAAGGGTAGCAGGGAGGGAAGGATAAGGTGGGGATGGTTAATGGGTACAAAAGCATAGATAGAATAAACAATATTTGATAGCACAAAGGGACTGTAAGCAACAGTAAGTTAGGGTACCCTTTATTTTATTTTTTGTTATTTATTTATTTAATTATTTACTTTTACTGTTTGGGATTCATTGAGGATACAAAGAATTCAGTTACACTGATTGCCTTAGGGTCTACTTTAAAATAACTTAAGAGTGGAATTGGAGTGCTCCTGACATAGGAATGATAAATGCCTGAAGTAATGAATATCCCAATTACCTTGATGTGATTAATTCACATCGTATGGCTGTATCAAAACATCACATGTACCCTAAAAAGATATACAGCTGTACCCATCTAAAAAAGAGAACATTTCACCTCTTGAAACAAGATGGTTTAAAGATAATCCCATGAGAATTTAATTTTGGCAATTAACATGTTGTTTCTCCAACATAACCTGTAGCCAGGAATTTTTAAATTTTCTGATTCATTTCCCTTGCATATTTTTCTGGTGTTGTTTGTCCCCCAATTCCAAATGGTATAAGGCCAGGTCTTTCTTCTACCGTATATCCATTACTAGCTGGATGTTTCAGTCTTTCTATATCCCTCCCTTAGGGTACTCCAAAAGAAAAGAGGGGTGCTGTTTCTAGGGGAAAAGAATACAGGATAGTTGAAAACCATGGCTTTCTATGTTATAAGAATAGAAATGTGATTTTAAGATGATTGAAAAATCTAAATACTTTAAGAAATACAATATTGCTTTATTACTGTTAGTAATGAGTCCACTTTGTTTCACATTTAATCCTTTACAACTATGGAGTCAAGATAATTGTGATCGCAAAATTTCACTTATAAGACTGATGAAAACCAAGGAGAATTCAATTCTCTCTTTAAATGTTGTATATTGTCAGAAGTAATAACTTGAATAAATGAAAGGAAGTCAGCACAAATTCTGGGCAAGTGGCATTTCTGCCTTTATTCTTTTTTTTAAAAAAAATTCAGGTTAATGTGAGAGTACAAACAACAAAAATCACAATATTTGAATTTGTTAGGTAGAGTCCCTTTTGTACCTATGCCCTGCACTCAAAAGGTGTGCCATATACCCCCTACATTGCACCCATTCAGTGGAAGCACTCCAACCCCCCTTCCTCCTCCCTAATTACCCCCTACATTGTACACATTCAGGGAAGCACCCCTACCCCCCCTTCTTGAATTGAAGCAAGTTTTTGTCCCAGCTGGGTATGAATTAGATTGTCTACTAGCTTCATATTAAAACTGAGTACATTAAATACTTGGTTTTCCATCTTACGACACTTCACTGAGAAGAATGTGTTTCAACTCCATCCAAGTTAACACAAAAGATGTGAAATCACCATCTTTTTTATGGCTGACTAGTATTCCACGGTATGCATATACCACAGTTTCTTAATCCATTCCTGAGTTGATGGGAATTTAGATTGTTTCCACATCTTGGTGACTGTAAACTGAGCAGCGATAACAATATATTGCATATGTCCTTACAATAAAATGATTTTTTTTTCCTTCTGGGTAGACGCCTAGTAGTGGGATTGTGGGGTCGAATGGGAGATCTAATTTGAGCTCTTTGAGGATTCTCCATACTTCTTCCAAAGAGGCTGTATTAGTTTGCAGTCCTACCAACAGTGTAAAAGTGTTCTCCTCTCTCCACATCTGTGCCAGCATCTACAACTTTGGCATTTGTGATGTGGGCTATTCTCACTGGGGTTAAGTGATATCTCAGAGTGGTTTTGATTTGCATTTCTCTGATGATTAGGGATGATGAGTACTTTTTTCATGTTGGTTAGCCATTTGTCTGTCTTTCTCACCGAAGGTTCTATTCACATCTTTTGCTCAGTGATAGATGAGATTGTTAGCTTGTTTTCTGTTCATTAACTTGAGTTCTCTATAGATCCCAGTTATCGAGCCTTTGTCAGATTTGTCACATTACCAGACTGTAGGTTGTATTACAAGTCCACAGTAAAACTGTGCATGATATTGGCACAAAAATAGAGACATAGACATGTGGAACCAAATAGAAAACCAAGTGATAAAACTCGTCTCTTATAGCCATCTGATGTTTGATAAACCAAACAAAAGCATACACTAGGGAAAAGAGTCCCTATTCAATAAATGGTGCTGGTGCTACAGGACGCGTGGCACCCCAGCCAGCTTGGTGGAGCTTGTGGGGTGCGGACGGGCTGCCTCCTCCTTGGTGGTATTGGTGCAGTGGCAGTGAGCAGAGGAATCAGTGGGCTGGAGGGAAGGCAAGCGGGACATGAAGGAGGCTACAGTAGCCAGAGGGGCCAGACAACTGCAGGGGAGACATCAGCACCTTAGGTTTCCCTCCCCTAGCACTTAGGGCTGAACAGGGAATCCCCATTTCCTAGGCCTGGTTAATTTCATGTAAGTTTCTTAGGCCTGGGAAAGAAAGGGATTGTAGCCAATCATTCACAACCCAGACATGCTCTCCCAGACACACTAAATGTAACTACCATGCAACTATATATACCCCTAGACAAAGCGCCTGCAGAGACAGACAGACAGGGATAGAGAGAGAGAACTTTTCTCTCCTGACTTGGGTTTTCTTGCTCTGCCAAGAGCTCTGGCGTTTAGGTAAATAAATCCTGTGGTACCACTGATCTGTGGTCCGCAGATTCATTCTTTGAATCACTGAGACCAAGAACCTACTTAAGACGAAATTCCAGTATCGCTG